TATTACCATGAATGCAGCCTGCACTTGCTATGGAAGGATTAATATTATTCTTTTACATCTTACAGCTGAAACTTTGTGTAACTTCTGCTCTGTGACATTCCTCATTTGAGGGACAAATGTGACGAATGCGTCTCGTCAAGAACCGACCTCCTCCGGCGTCCAGCTGACTCCATGTTTGAGCCTCTGAGCAGAAAACCAGACCTTGATCTGCTCCTCACTGAACTTGGTCTGAGACGACAGGCCCATGATCTCAGAGACGGAGGGGTACGGAAACCTGCGAGGCAAAATAAGAGTCAGGCTAAATTAAGAGATTAAATAAAGAGACATGTTTTTAACATGCAGTGTTAAATACAGTCTCAATGCAGTGAGAGCAGAACAAATCCTCTCTGCAGCCTGGGTTCACGCTGTTCGTTTGCAGATCCGAGCCAAAAATGTTTTACTCCCTAATATCAGAGCATCCACATCAGTCGGGCTATAGTTTCTATAGATTAACGTTTTGGGTGAGAACCAGTGAACTTGAAGCTGAGTCAGGAAAACTTTCTAGTTTTTAAATATTCTACAGATTGACTAAGTCGGTGCAGTTACCGGTTGTAGGCGCTGACCAGCAGGACGTTGTTGTCCATGGCCGTGTTGTACGTTGGGATGCTGCTGATGGGGATGAGGAGCTGAGTCTGAGTCTGGTTCTGAGCGCTGTGCTGCTGCTGCAGCGCCGACAGAACCTGAGCCAGCGTCCCCGGTGGCAGCACGGCGCCGCCACCCGCCGCAGAGCTGCTTTTAATCTGCAGCATGTTGGAGCTGTTGACCACAATGCTCTGCGGGACGGCCTGGACCTGCAGCGGCGTGGAGATGGGGATGAGGCAAGGGGTGACGGCGGCGGCAGGGGTCATTGGGGCGGGAGACAGAGTGGGCGGCTCCTTGTCCTCCTCGTCCTCTTCGTCGCTCTCCACCTTGATGACGTCGTCCACGGCCATTTTGTGCGCAGCAGTGAACTTCTTGGGCTCCGGTCTGCTCTTGATCCTCATGATGGGCGTCTTGCTGAGGGCGATGCCCTTGCGGGACGTCTCCTCCGCCTCGTCGTCTTCCACTTTTACGAAGCTGCCGTCAAAGGTGAGGTCGTTGACCGTCTGCTGGAAGACGGTCTCGTTGTTCCGCTTCACCATCGTCCGTGTGAAGTTGTCCTCACCTGGGTGGAGACGAGCATTGTGGGCCAGCAGTGTGTCGTAACTAGAGGGAGAGAATTGTGGGTGAATATGTTTTGACATATATAAAGGAAAGACAAACCCACAGACAGATCAATGATTTCAAGTGTTTAATAAAAACTTGAGGTTTTTGTCCCAGACAGAAGAACAGTGTCAGAAGTCGTCACCTCTTTGTGTGGTAGTCACACTCCATGCAGACGTAGGACGTGTTGAGGACGACGTCGGGATGCTCCGTGTCCACATGCATGGTAAACAGGTTCAGCTCGGACGTCTGGAAGCTGCAGTATTTACACTCGTATCCTCCCTCGGCCATGTTCAGGTCCAGGTAGGGGTCTGACACCTGTCGGACGTCGGCCTCGTCCCCTTGCTCGCCCGACAGGTCGCAAACCTCCGCAGAGATGGTCCCTGTGCCATTACTGTCCTCTGCTTCCCCTTCTGTCTCGTCCATGACGTCCTCCATCTCCTGGTCTGAGTCGACAGGTTCTCGGGGAGGAACCATGCAGGGTGTGGTGGATTTCCTCCGACTCGCCATCCTGAGGTCGAGTAAGTGTTGCGTCTGTCTTTCTGAGCTGTCTCACTTACAGTCGTCCTGTTGTGGCTCCATACAGAAGGAGGTCGTCAGTCAAAAGGATTCTTCTGTTCTTCTTATTTCCTACAGACGAAAAAGGAAAGTTTGAAAACTCAACAGTGAAAAAAAAGAGAAACGTCTTCACTCTGACCAGAGACAGTAAATAGAGATGGACGACATGACACCTCCCTGGTGCCTGTCTGCAGTATAAACCCCTCCTCCTCCATGTTAGCAGACGGGACATGGACCAAACTAAAAACTCAAAGTAGACGTTAAATAAATGTTTAAAGATGTTTCTGTCATTTCAGGTCGTTCTTATTTGTTCAAGTGTTTCTGATCAGTTTGGTTTGAATTCGTTATTTGATGATTTAAAACTTTATGACATAAACAAGTCAGAGACATTTTGGCTTCAGTTGTGGATAAAGGGAGGAAGAGGAGGACGCTCGTGATTCGTTAGAGCAAAGAGACAAGATGGACAAAGACCAAATCCTCATCTGTCAGTCAAGAGGAGGGTCAGAGGTCCAATTTATAAAACTCCTCCAAGACTGAGACAAACACACTGATGATAAAGATTTAAAAAAAAAAGATGAGCTGAGGACACTTCATCTGCACACACAGAGACACACACACACAGAGACACACACACACACAGAGACACACACACA